CTTAGGCAAAGCTGAACAGCCATTCAGGACTCACTTGCTTTCTGTTTTAAGGCAGAAAAGTCTTCTGCTTTCTGAAACGTGTTCAGTGCCTCACAGAGCTCTTAAGTCTAGCAAAAACAGTTGTGTGGTTTGGGCACACACACCTATAATCCTAGCTACTCAGGAGGCTGAGATTTGAGGATCATGGTTCAAAGCCAGTCTGGGCAGGAAAATCTGTAAGACTCTTATCTGCAATTACACACACACACACACACACACACACACACACACACATGCGTGCGCGTGCACGCACACACACACCTGAAAATAGAGCTGTGACTCAAGTGGTAGATCACCAGCCTAGAGTGAAAAGGCTGACGGTCAGCACCCAAGCTTTCAGTTCAAGCCCCAGTATTGGCACCATAAAGAAACCATGTGGCTTCTGCCTACCTCATACCATAGAGCAGTACTGTTTCATGCTGCAACATTACCCACATTTTTTTACTTTTAAATTTTTTGGTGGCCATATTAAAAACAAATTGGTAAAACAAAGTGGTAAAATTAATTTGAATCCTTATTATCATTCCATGTAACCAATCTAACCAACATGTTATCTATTATCTATATAAATATTGATAAAAATAGTTCTTTTATGGCATGAAGCCTTCAAGATGGAGTATGTACATTATGTGCATAGCACAATCTCACATCAGAGAGGCCAAATTCCAAGTGGTCATTTGTGATCTCCACACTGAGCAGCTCGGGCTAGAGACTCCAATGCAAACTCTTTCAGGACCATTTGACCCAGGGCAATAGTCTCATACAATAGGACAAGATGCAGAATCTTGTCTTATGGCTACATTTTTTTTTAGCCTAAAAGAAAAACATTTTTCATCTAATCCCCACCTCCTGCCAGCTTCCCACAGACATCTTGTACTGGTGATGAGATTCTACAAACGGCAGGATGACAAAAATATGTTTAGGAAGAGACAACTTTGTCAACACTCACTTGAGAACCCTAAAAGCTATGTCAGAATCCAAATTTTAAAATATTCTGAAAATGTTACAGACTTAGCTAATAAAGTTCTGAGGCTTTTCCAAGAGGGTGGGTTTGTTTGTTTTTTTGTTGCTACCTTCTTAGGTCTGGGCACTCTCCCTGAGCTTCTTTTGCTCAAAGAGAATGCTCTATCCCTTGAGCCACAGTGCCACTTCCTTATTGGAGATAAGATTCTCACAGAGTTTTCTGCCTGGGCTGGCTTCAACTCATAATCCTCAGATCTCAGCCTCCTAAGTAGCTAGGATTAGGGGTGAGAGCTACCAGTGCTTGACTCCAAGAGGGCATTTTTAATGGATGTTTTGGTTTAGTTTGGGTTTGGGTGTTTTTAATGGATGTTTAGTTTGGTTTGAGTTTGGGTTGGGGTTTTGAGGGGAATTATAGCATTGACTGGAAAGTTGAAAGTCTCAAGTAAGAAAAGAAAGCAGGATGATTACCAAAGACAGTCAAGACAAGTGGAGCAGGAACAAAAATAGGTTGAGGGCACAAAAATAACACAAGTCCTACACTGGGGTGTATAAGCTAAACCTATCATTGAGCCCTGTAACTTATATGTCTTGTCCTGGGAGAAATCACAAGAAAAATAAAAACAGAAGTAGATATTAGGGCAGGAAAGGCTTCTTCTGGTCCAACTCACTCATTTAAAAATATGTTTGTTTTGTTTGCATTTTGTCAGTACTGGGATTGTACTCTACCACCTGAACCATGCCTCAACCCATGTCATTTTCAGGATATTTTTCATATGCAGTATTAAGTTTTAGCCCAAGGTGGCCTCAGACCACCTAGCCAGCCTGTTTGTCTCAACCAGCTGGGATTAGAGGTATGTATCATGAAGCCAATTTATCTCTCAAAATTGAATCCTGCTAACTTTTTGACCAAGCTGGCCTCCAACCTCAATCTTCCCAATATCTTCTGCCTAGGTGGGATAACAGGTATGGACCACCCGTTCATTTGACTCATTCATTTCAAACAAAAAAAATAATAAATGTAAAATAACTCAGCCTCATCACACTTAGTGGCAGTCAGGGTATAAACTGAGGTGGTCTCCTGTGACTACAGGTATGGAGAATAAACAATGTAGCGAACTAAAGTGAGAAACAGGAAAATAGCAGACACATTCTCCTGTAGGTTCAAGAAAACAGGCTAGTCAATTTCAGAACACTAAGGTATCACTAAAGTAAAATGTAATTAAAACATGATTCTCCCCATAGTCTTTTCTGCATACATTTTCTTTTCAAAGAAATTTCCTTTCTCAACCACAGTAGATTTCTGATTCATTATTTGGATTTTTGGACCAAGTGACAAAATAAAAACTTCATAACATTTTCCAAAGGTCCCTTCACTGGGATTTACACAATGTATATGAAAAGATATTTACAGGAAAAAGAGTTGTCTTTCCCACAGACATCTACATATAGTGAGAATTCCACATTGTAACACCACACCTCACACAGAAAGCCCCTAATAGGCAATGCACTGACACAAGACACCCATTATTCCAGGTGCCACCACAAGGAATCTCATCCTCACACACGTGTAAAATTAAATGGTACATTTCAGATAGCTCTTCTAGGAAAACCTCCTCTATACACATATATTAGGAGACATATACAGACATATACATCTTTAAGCAAGAAAGCCATTGGTTGCTCCAGTTTTTCCCAATGCTTGATCTGAAAGGAAGAATAGCACATATAGAAAACTTCACCTTGTAGAAATAGCCCTTGGTTTTTTGAGGCAGAAAAAAAAAAGGCAGCCATAATATGATTTTTTACAATACAGTTAAGCATCAAAAGAGCTAAATTTGTTTTTTCTACCTAGTGAAATCAAATCATTCATAGCTCCTAATCTTAAATGCAGATTTTTCACCATTGATTTTTTTTTCCAAAATTCTGTTATAAAATTTTTATTTTGTTCAAAATACACATGCTATCTATTTCCATATTTCAGTCCACCCCCTTTTCCCCAGGACTTCTTCTCTCCCCAGAGAAAGGTCTTTGCTTTGTAACATCACTGAAAAGAAGCTATTTTTGATATATATTTGGAGTCATTATTCAGTGATAGTCCTCAGGGGACTGGATTTTGTAAGGCTGCTTAGTGTGTGATTTTCCACAGGAGTCAGGGACTTTCATAACAAAGTGGGACTGCCTGAGGATCTCTGAGTCAACAATAGTGGCAACACCAGTGGGTACAGTGTCATAGACAATTACTGCACAATGAGTTCCCTCCTTCTGCCCATCTCATTTGTTTCCAGGTTGAAGAAAACATCAGATGAAAGATGGCTGGGGGTACATTCTACTGGAACCCACCATGACACGGACCTTGGCTCTAAAGGTTCATCCTCTCAGATCTTATAGTGGCCTCATTGCAGAACTGGAAAGAGATGGGAGGTGTCAACACACCACTGTGCAGATGAAGAGAGTGAAGCACAGGGAGATGAGAGAGGTGCCTAAGGTCCACAGTCAGTTAGGGGTAGCACCCAGGTCTCCAGGCTCTGGGCTCCACATCCCTTGCTCCTATGGCATACGTGATCTGTGAAACAGTGGCCCTTATCACAGCTGGAACCCTGAGTGTTCAGAACTCACCATACCCTAATCCAATACCTCTGCAGTATTTCATCCAACTGGTACTGCTTCATCTCCTATAGTTTTTGGGAAAATCCTTCAACCAAACAAGTATATGTCAAGTAGAAAGCAATTTTTTTCATTTGACTGAATAAGCTGAAACAGAAATTCCAGAGACTCTAGAACTTTTTGCAAAGTGGAAGGAAAATTATACAATATTGTCACTTCGTTTTCTTAAACCACATTTGAAACCAATCTAATCCCAGCTTGTAATTAAAATACAGAAATAATCAAAATGGAAAGAATGATTTTTAACAATGTTATCAAACTTTTTTGCATCTAAAATCCTTAAGAGAGTTTCAAAGCACACTGTTGATGATAGGACAAAAGCTTCAGGATAAGTCAGGAGGTGATAAGCTAAATCAGGGCAGAGATGACCCCAGAAAAAAAAATAGAAACAGAGGCAACGAGAGCAGATGAGATAAAATGATGGACAAATCATTTTAACACGATTCCAAGGAGTTGTGTGGTATGTAAAAAAGATTCTTTGATAGTAAAGGTTAGTTATTCTACCTAAACATAAATGCTGGATCTGCTGGGGAGCCAGCTGCTGAGAAAGAGAGGAGCCATCTAGCTTTGGCAACGTGTAGTATTATGCTACTGTAGGCATCTGGCCTTAATCCTCCAAATGACACAAACCTCATTGAATGCCTGACCACACACAATGAGGGGTGACTCAGTGACTTCTACTCCTTAAAATCCAAGCAAGGAACTAATTTTAAAACTGCTCCTAAGTTAGAGTTTTGCTGACATATTTACTCATCTTTTCCAGATATGCTTCATACCAAAAATCAATCCATCTCAGATTTTTCTAGTGAACTACCAAAGTTGCACACTCATACTCACTCACACATTCATACAATTGTATTACGAATTTGATAATGATTTAAATTAAAAATATCTTTCATTGAGGATGTTCTATTATACATGGATAGGTCAGAGATTAATGTATATAATGAAAAAACTATGTCACAAATAAAGCCAGCCTAGAATCTGATTTTCTTTATGAAACAAAAGTAGGCTTGAGGCCATAGCACTGGCAACATGAACTAATTTCTCTGGGGGCCACTGCCTCTAACCCCCCAAATCAATACAGAGGGCTGGGGCACTCACCCCCATTTCTGATATGCTCAAGGTAGATACCACACCAGCAATGTGAATTCCTTTGTTTATATCACCCTCTCCTTGAACATTTATAAAAACTATCTACAATTGAGAATTATCACTAACAAATGTTTCCAGTTCTATTTCAATGAGCGTGCTATTTAAATTAACTACAAATACCCATGTATTCTTCATGTCTGTTCCAACTTTTTTCTTTTCTCTCTTTCTCTCTCTCTCTCTTTTTGGCAAACTAAAAAGGTGTATGACTTCTGCTCGCCAACTTATATGTCCGAGGTTTAGCTTGGTATCCTGCGGTAAAAGTACATGTAACCAAGGTCTTTAGGAGGTCTTTCAGAGGCACAAACTTTGTGGTCATTGTAGATCACCCATCTGAAAACAGAAGATAGAAGCAGTTGATAAATAATTTGCAGAGAGAAGTTACTATATCACACAAAGCAATCATTCTTAACATAATCAAGATACTTTAAAATCACCAAACTCCAAATAGGTATATTTTTTTTTAAAGGAACAAAATGTTTATGGGGAATTACTGCTGCTTTTGGTTTGAGCTCCATTAATAAAAAAGTAGTTTGTAAAATATAATTGGGACTGGAGGTGCAGGTCAAATGGTTGAGAGTTACTTGCCTAGCAATGCCAGGTCCTGGGTTTAAATATCAGCACTATGAAAAGTTAATAAGTTAGCTGATTAAGTATACCTGGATGCTACAAATATTGTAAGCCTTACATTCTGTAATTCCTTTTGTAGAAATTCAGGAACTGCTTCAAAAATGGAGCAAAAAATTCTATACAATAATATCTACCTAAGATAAAACCTGAAGTCTATGATGAACTAAAATCTTTTCAAAGAATAACTGAAGTAAGAAAATTGTGAAAGGTAATTGTGAAAACATAATATAAATCACAAAAGACGAGGACTGGTAGAGTGGTAGAGTGCTGGCTTAGCATGCATGAAGCCCTGGGTTCAATTCCTCAGTACCAATTCCTCAGAAAAAGCTAGAAGTGGTTCTGTGGCTCAAGTGGTAGAATTCTAGCCTTGAGCAAAAGAAGCTCAGGGACAGTGCCCAGGCCCTGAGTTCAAGCCCAGAACTGGCAAAAAAAAAAAAAAAAAAAGAATATGAAGATCAGGTTTAAAATTTTTATGTGCCCTGAACATACTGTAAAATTTTAGAACAGCTGTAAATACATACAGGTACATATACATTCTCCTTTAATAAGACTAATAAAACAAAAAATAGATCAAAATGTAGAAAGTGGTTATCTTTAGGCTTCAGAATACATAATCATTCATTGTTTTGCATTCTACACATAAATTTGTTACCATTACTCTTACCATTCTTTGAATTATAATTTAAGCTACTGTTCATTTTTAAAGTACTTTTAAAAGGAACACCATGCTGTGTAACAAAAAGAAGCCATTTTAAATACAAGCTGCAGTATTCAATGATTATACTAATCATTGAGATAAATTTAAGAGACTAATTGGGAGGATGGGTAGAACTTAGAGAGATAGGGAAAAAGATGAAAGGGTGACATTAAACCAAATATATTTTACCCATAAATTGACATGTTGAATTGAAGGCCCTTTGTACAACTACCCAAAGTAAAATAAAAAATTAAAGACAAACAAAAAGAATACAATTGTGTCTGGGTAGAGCAGACAACTCCTGAGGGGAAACCAAGCTCATACACCGCTCTAGCATCCATGCAGCTGAACACCACCCTGAAGCAGGTGCGCACGCATGCCGCTCACAGTTGGAATCTGCAGGAAAGGCACCAGGGAGAAGGTCCTGAGGAGAGCAGAAACCTTCCATACTGCAACTATCTCTTTACCACTCCACTGTACCTAAAGATTCTACCCAAGAAGTCAAGAAGCCAACTGCAAGTCTGTAAATTCAGTAATACAATGAAGGTTTGTGGTAGGGAGGTAAAACATAGATTATTGTTGAATTTAAATTTCCTATGAGTAACCAAAAATCTGCTGATAGGACGCCACACAGAGAGTCACCCTTATAATCTCAAGCTTTTGAGAGGCAAAGACCAAGAAGATCAAGTGAAGTTTGAGGTAAGTGCAGGCAAAAAGTTTGCAAAAAAAACAAAAATGAAAAACTGTCCATCTCAAACAAATAAACCAGACACTACGGTACACATTTATTATCCCGGCTGCAAAGATCACAGTAGAAAAAAAAAAACTCAAGTTTTTTACTGGAAGCACCATTCAAGAGGTAGAATGCATGCTTAGTAAGCATGAGGCCCTGAATTCAAACTCCAGTACCACAAAAAAAAAAAAATGTGTTAGCGAAAGTATGCCCAGTGTAATATTTGAGATATACCAAATTTGAAACACATCTCTACTAAAAAGTAATTGTTTATTTAAATTTTAAGTTCAGTAGAACATCGTAGTTGGTTTGTTTCATTGGCTCGTTACTATGGTCTTCTCATGGTTCTAAATGCATATGTTCTACTGTGAGATAGAACTTGAATTTGTGAAAGCACCTTAATATGATGGTTAAGAGTACCTTTGAACACCAGCACTAACCCAATTATTTGCCAACTTGTGACAAGCTAAAAAGCTCTCTGAGCTGGGTCTAGAAGTTTATTATGGTTTTGAGAAGATACTTCTCCCTATAAGACAAAGAGGTAACCATACAAAGCACCCAATAAAGTCACTGGCTAAAGTATTGGTTCAATAAACCATGACTATCATTTACCTTCTGAAAGACTTACCTTCCCTCCTTTTTGATATGGCAAACATAATGCCCACTCATCGTAGAAGTTCCCATGTGGCTGATGAATGCAAATAATTCATACACTATGAAAGAGGAAATAATTCAGTTGTTAGGCATTCAAGAAATCAAGAGTACTTCTAATCAAAATTATAAACCAACAATAATATAATCTAATGACTATTTAGAGCTGAAAGACAAAATCTGTTTACCTTGCTATGTTGGTCACACACACACACACACACACACACACACACACACACACACACACACACACACACACA